GAACCTTTGAGAGCTCTTGAGCTGGACGCGTGGCATCTTCCCATAGTGACACGTGTCACCCTATAAACTGGGTCACGTGTCACTACGGGACTGGTCCACGTATACAGGGTATTTTTACCCTCAACATTTGCCCCTCAGAGGGGGTGACTCGTACGCTTACAAGCCGACTCCTCTGACCTCAAATAGCCTTGGGGCGTACGAGTGCATTAGGGTTTTGATAGGCGGCTTTTGTCTGCTTGAAAATTTAGAGCGAACGCCTATCTTTATGAATGGCGCGGACAACGGTAGGCCGTCTCGTTTTTGGAATTGCGGCCGTCTTGCTGTTGCGGAGGGAGCTTTAGCTCCGTTTTCTTATCCGTTTATTTTCGGACGTGCCGTTTATTAGGTCGTCTTCTTTTCCGCCTATTCTAACGGCGTTGTCCCTTAACCCTTCAAATTCTAGATTACATTTTCGAGTTATAACCGTTAACTTCTTTAGGCGGGAAAGATGAAGTTACCATCCTACCCCCATAAATTTTGTCTATATATACAAAGGTTTTGGCCTCATTTTCACACTTTGAAACTTTCATTTTCTAGAGAGAAGTTAGAGCTTTTAGAGAGAGAAAGTGCCTTTTCCTTTGAATCTTCAAGAGCTCCACCGTGCCTTTGAGTTTTCCGGGCCATTCCTTGAGTTTTCCGGTCAACCTTCAAGACTTTTTCAAGTTTTCTACATGTACAGATGTAGGGCGCCTATTTTCTTTTCCTTTTCTTGCATTTTAATTTCTTTTACTCTTCATTTTAAAATCTGGCTCAACACTCGGCTTCGTCCGTTTCTCCTCATGAGGCCGGCCGTTCGCCTGGGACTGAGGAGTCTAGAGTGGAAGGAGACGAGTTGTCTCCTTCATGGAGTGGGTCCATTTCTAGTGTGTACCAACTCTCTTCCACCCATTCTTCTCTGTCCCTGCAGTCGAACATGGCAAGGACGATGCAGACGTACGATCGTCATGCGGCCAGAAATCCAGACGGTAGTCTGGTGAACCCTAGGCCTTCTTATGACCCTAACAATACTAATTTATAGACCCCTTCTTCTACTCCTACGACCGCTTCCACGGGCACTCACTGCTCGGTCGTGGAAGTAACTTCTTCTTTTGAGGAGGGCCAAAGAACTCAGGGCGCTTCTGCTGCAGGGGGAACGTCCGGGCAAACTCCGGGGTTAATGTTCCCCTAATATGCCAACTCGGTCATGGATGGGGCCGAGTTTCTACTCTGTGAAGGACCTCCTTCCTCTTCTCGGGCGGACGCTGATCCGTCCGTCCCCATTCCCTCAGAACTCTATCTCCGATATGGCAGGTCGGACATGCCAAGGACTGGGGTCTCAATTAATGAACCGTCCGACCTGCCCCCTCGTAGAGCTCCTCCTTCTGGAAGTCACGCGGCCGATGCCAAAGACAAAGGAAAAAGACCCCTAATTCATGAAGACATTACCTTTTCCAGGGGCGGCCGTAGCTCTAGGAGCCGCAGCTCAACGGAGGCAGCCGATCTGGACAGAATGCTGTCTTCTGAGTTTAGGAGTGCTCCTCAACAAGAGGAGGGGAAGGTCGCGAAAGCAGCCGAGGGCGAGGCGGCGGCTGAGGAAGACGTCGCCAACATTGATAACTTTAAGGATCCGTACGCCTGTACGGTGGGTAGCACGGCCTTGGGCTACCTAAATGACAATTTTGAGGAGTACAAGGCATTCCTCCATCTTAGGGAGGGATTTGAAATTCACCCCCAAGGAAGTCACATGCGGTGGCTGCTTGGGAGGAAGAGAGGTCGTGGCAAAGGTCCTTTAGTGTTTACAGGGCGGCTCTAGACGTCGGACTGCGCTTCCCTCTCCACCCCTTCGTCCGCACCATTCTGGACGAATACGACATTGCTCTCTTCCAGCTGGTTGAACATTTTTGGGTATTTGGTGACGTGCATTTGTAAAGGCTTCAAGCCGGACTTTGCAGTTTTCTGTGAGATGCACTCACTGACCAAGTTGGACGTCGAAACAGACGGCTGGCTTATTCTGAGTACCAGTAGGGACTACATGATGGTGGTTGACCGCGTCTCCAAATGGCATGACTGGAAGCACCGATTTTACCGCATCAAGACCAAAGATGTTAAATTCAACCTGCGGATGAATCAGTTTAATGCTGAACCAATTCAGCTTGGACGCGGGGACCTCAAGCCTGATAAGCCACCCGTCCACCCCAGCCAAGAGCACCAACAAGAATACTTCAAAGTCAAGAGGGTGAAGAGGAACCGACAAAACTGAGCGCGTTCTAAGCAACTGGGTCCCCTTATCCAGTTGGCTACGGGATCCCACGTTCATGTCCGCCTATGGCCTGTACTAGAACTTGCCCCAAGGTGGACGCATGGACGTATATTTTTACACATACCTAGGTTATTTGAAATTGAAGGGTTTTCTAACACTTCTTCCTTTTCTTTTTCAGCTGAGGCGTACAAGATGCTGGACTCAGAGCAGAAAGGGGATGTGAATATGTCGGAGATTGACTTGGCCCGCTACAAGGCTCGTCGGAAGCTGTATGAGCAATCTAAAGAAGTAAGTATATCCACCTCCATTTCTTCTTTTCGTTCGTGTTGGGATGCTTGGAAGGTCCTCCCTTCTGGGTTCCCACGGACGTATTCCTGCGTCCTTGTAGGCAATACGAAAGAGATCTTCTTCCTAACTAGACACGACCAATCAATTGTATTATCTTGTTCTCTTTTCGCTAACTTTTGCCTCTTCAGCTGTCAACTCCGACCCGTAGGTCCAAACGGAAGCAGTCGTCCCCTGCCTCCAAGACGGACAAGGACGGTAGGGCGTCCAAGCAAAGGAAGACGGTCGCATCCAAGACCACTTCCACCACTGCGGCCAAGACCACGTCGCGGACTGTGTCTAAGCAGTCCAAAGGAGAACAACCCCGGTTGAGTGATAGAAAGGCCTCCAAGTCCATGGATTCGGCCGCCATGCCGGTTCATGACAAGTCCGAGAAATCGGACGATACGGGTCCCCATCTTCCTAACCCTCCGAGCTTCTCTGACGGTCAGTCCAAGTACCTTTGAATCCTTTATTTCACTCTTTATAAGTCCGATTGAACCTGAGCTAAACTTTTATTATTGCGCCCTTGCACAGACATTGTAGAGGAGCTGCATATGAAGCTGCCCGGCCAATCCCATACGGGCGCGGACAAGAAGGCCATGAGGGAGGCCATGGCCAGGGCGGTCCCCGCTGAGCAGCGAGACAAGCTGCGGGGGATCCATGAGGGCTTCCTTGGCCCAATGATCAACTGCCGCGCTGAGGTAATTTCTCTTTCAACTATCATACTTAGTCAATTTTTCATTCTTATTTTGCTAACACGTTTTCCCTGTACGCAGCTCTTCCTACGGTTGAATGCCTTCCTTGAATGGAACAAGGAGAATAAAAGGCTGAAGCATGCCTGGGACCAGATTCAGAAGATCCAGGATGCCATTACTGGGGAAACGGTCGTCCAGCGCCAATACTTTGAAACCCAAATCAACGCGCTGTCCGACAAGGCGGCGCGGCAGGCTGAAGATTTGGTGAAGCTGGGCCAGGCCCTGGAGCAAGAGTCTGTGGCCAGGGATGCCATGAGACAAGAGAGGGATCAAGCCCTCCTGGACGGCCAGCACTGGAAGGAAGGATTCGAGACCTCCGAAAAGCTTAGAAGTGAACTGGCATTAGCCCAAAAACACTTGAAGGAGGCCTTGGACGAGGCAGACGTTCTCAGGGCCGAGGTGGAGAGTTTAAAGAAGTCCGTTGAGGACTTGACTCTACAGGTGCAAACTCCTCGGGCTCCTAGTGCGGATGAGGTCGTCCTCATTGAAAAGAATGCTGAGGATAGGCTGAAGAGCCACTTCTTTGAGGCTTTTGAGCTCATGGTGGACGAGGGCGAGGCGACCTTTTAACAAGAACGCTTCACCAAACGCCTCAACTTTGTCTACCTCAGAGATGAGGCTAAGAAGGCCGGGCAGTCTTCTCCTGAGCTGGACGTCACACCAACTACCTCCGAAGAGGAGGAAAACGAAGAAGTGATGGCCGACAAAGACGGTGAAGTGGAAAGCAGGGAGGCGCCTACTAAGGACGCGTCCCTTGCCGTCGTTCAAGAGCCCGGCCTAGGCCAAATTCCAGCTTCTACCCCAGCCGCCCCTTCATTTCAGCTGATTCTGCCTTGTTTAGTTAATTTCTACTTTCTTTATCTGCCGCCTTTTCAAGCGGTTTTATGTAAGATACTTTGCCGCCCTTTGAACGGTCTTTTTATTAATCCAAGTTTTCTATTATGCTTCATACTTTGCAAATTTTACACTTAACATGTTTTTGCTTTTTCGTACGCGTACTTTTTACACGTTTTTGTATCCTCGTACAATTGGGGGGTATGCCCCTTTATTCGGCGTTCGCCTAGTCCATATTTTAAGTGGTTTGATTGACTTGGTAGAATTTATACTTTGGGGGGTATGACTACTAGCAAGTCAATCAAATCATAGTAATGATTGCCCTTGGACTAGGTGGTACGCCGAATCAACACATTATTTGGCTTTATGCGAGTTTGTCCGTTGAAATTATTGTTCGGACGCGCTAAACAAATTTCAAGTATGATCTCAACTTAAAATTTCTAAGTTTTAGGCTGGGCTGGAATGCCTAGGTATGCCCTTGCCCCATTAGAGGGGTTTCATAGGGTACCTTACCTTTTCCGCCCGCCTCAGTGAGGGACGGACGTATACATGCGACTTAAGGTCAAGTCGCTTTTTTTTTTTTTTTTCGACCGGGTTGCTGTGTTGCAAGCAACCTAATCACAAATTTTACGCGGCATTTCTGTGTAGACTATGACCATGCTAATAAGCATAAATAGAATGGAAAATAATATAACAATGTTTGAATTTTCATTATTTGTCAAAATTACATTGATGTGGCCGTACGACTTACATTGCTCGGTTATCAGACCTAGCTGTATATACAGCTTTTGGCTAAGTACTTAAACTTAAACATAATATTTCTTCAAATTGTGAGTGTTCCATGTACGCGGAATAGGTCGACCGTTCATGGCTTCAAGACGGTAAGTCCCATCTCGGACTTCTTCCCTGATTCGATACGGCACTTCCCAGTTTGGGGTCAACTTTCCATCTTCATTTGCTCGTCCCACAACCTTCATCTTCCTTAGGACTAGATCTCCCAGTTTTAGCGCCCGCTTTGACACTCGGCGATTGTATGCCCTTGTCATCCTTAGGCGATAGATTTCGTGTCTTAGCGTCGCATTGCCCCTAGCCTCAGGAAGGAAGTCTAGGGCGGTCTTCATGGCTTCCCAATTAGCCGTTTCATCATATAGCATCACCCTAAGGGTCGGCTCATACATCTCAATTGGAAGGACAGCCTCTGCGCCATAGACCAAAATTAATGGAGTTTCTCCTGTGGAGCTCTTGGTCGTGGTTCGTATGGACCATAATACATTAACCAACTCATCAGCCCATAAGCCGCCTGCCCTTTCAAGCTTGCGCTTGATTCCATTGGAGATCAACTTGTTGTATGCCTCTACTTGGCCATTGGCTTGTGGTCGGCCGACTGAAGCAAAGCAATGAGCTATGCCTTGGTCCTCCAACCATCCTTTGAGTTGAGGCTTTTCAAACTGAAGTCCATTGCCGAACACCATAGACTGAGGGACGCCAAAACGTGTGATGATACTCTTCCATATGAAGGCTAAAACATCCGTCCACTTGATGCCCCGTACAGCCTCGGCCTCCACCCACTTTGTGAAGTAGTCTACTGCTACAAACACATAAAGCCTTTGACCAGATGCTGGCGTGACAGTCCTAAAATATCCATCCCCCATTTGGCAAAGGGGAGCGGACTACTGATGGCCAACAGACTATTCGCGGGGCGGTGAATCAAGGTTGCAAATCTCTGGCATTTGTCACATTTTTTCGCCATTTTCATGGCGTCCGATTTTAAGCTCGGCCAGTAGTAGGCCAGATGGGCAGCCTTTTCAGCTAAGGCTCGTCCTTCAATATGAGAGCCGCACTGCCCCTGGTGAAGATCGTCCAGGACATTATGCCCTTTCTCAGGAGTAATACATTTCAGGTACGGCTTCATAAACGCCTTTTTAAACAACTTCCCCTGCTTCATTTCGAACCAGGCCGCTCTCTTTTTCATCAGCCAGCTCTCTTTAGGATCGGCCGGGAGTAATCCATCCTTTAGATAAGAAATGATCCCATCCATCCAGGTGGAGCTTCTATCAATGGTATATACCGGCTCGGCATCAATACTCCTTCTTTCCTTTACCTCCCAAAATACTGACCTGGGGGTATCACATGATGCTGAGGATGCTAGTTTAGAGAGGGCGCCCGCCTGATGATTAGACGAACGAGGAACTTGTTGTAGAGTAAAATGATCTAGGCCCTTAGCCTCCTCCTTGACAATTTTCAAGTATTTCATCATAGCCGGCTCCCTTGCCTCGAAGTCTCCATTCACCTGGCCGACTACAAGTAGGGAGTCCGAGCTTACATCAATTTTTGTTGCTCCTGCCGCCTTACACATTCTAAGTCCGGCCAGGAGGGCTTCATACTCTGCCTCATTATTGGAGGCTTGAAACTGAAATCTTAGAGCGTACTCAAACTTATCTCCCTTAGGAGACTGACATATGACACCTGCACCACACCCGGTAGCTGTTACACTACCATCCACGAACACCTTCCAGACCTGGTCTCCGGCCGGCTGGAGATCCGGCCGAGTCATTTCAGCTAAAAAATCAGCAAAGTCTTGTCCCTTGATTGCTTTTCTTGGCTCGAATGCAATGTCAAAGCCTCTCATTTCTAAGGCCCACTTGAGCATACGACCATTTGCCTCTAGAGTTGTAAATGGCTTCTTCAGAGGTTGGTCCGTGTAGACCATAATTGAATGTGCCAAAAAGTATGGCTGCAACTTTTTCGATGCCATGTACAATGCCAAGCCAAATTTCTCAATAGGGGGATACTTCAGCTCAGCGTTGTGAAGTACATGACTGACAAAGTAGATAGGGATCTGGTGGCCATCCCGTTTAGCAAGCAAGACGACACTTAGAGAGTGTTCAGAGATGGCGAGATAAATAAATAGCTTCTCACTCTTGAGTGGACTGACGAGCCGAGGCAATGTATCAAGGTGATTTTTTAGCTGTACGAATGCTTCCTTGGCCTCCTCTGTCCATTCAAACATGGCTTTCTTCTTGATGGTTTGAAAGAAATAACGGCACTTATCCCATGATCTTGACAGAAATCTACCAAGTGCTGCTAAACAGCCGGTCAATCTTTGTACTTCCGTAATCGTCCTTGACTTCATGTCCAGGACGGCTTGAATCTTTTCAGGGTTGGCCTCAATTCCACGCTGATCAATTAAAAATCCGAGAAATTTACCGGACTCAACACCAAAGACACATTTATTTGGATTTAACATCATCTTATGCCGCCTGAGTTCGGTAAAAGTTTCTCGCAGATCCTTCAGATGGTCGTTCGGCTCTTTTGACTTGACAAACATTTCATCAATGTACGCCTCCATATTCCGACCGAGCTGATCTCTGAAGACTGTATTAACAAGTCGTTGAAAGGTAGCTGGGGTATTCTTAAGGCCGAATGGCATAACTTTGTAACAGTACAACCCCTTCTCAGTTACGAACGCTGTTTTCTCTTGATCTTCTTCCCATAATGGAATCTGATGGAATCCGGAGTATGCGTCCATAAAACTCATCAGGGCATGCCCGGCCGTTGAATCAACCAGGTGGTCGATTTTGGGCAAGGGAAAGCTATCCTTAGGGCATGCCTTGTTCAGGTCGGTGTAATCCACACACATTCTCCAAGTTCCATTCGGCTTCCTCACAAGAACCACATTGGCTACCCAGCCTGGGTAATAACATTGCCGAATGAAACCGGCGTCCAGCAACTTTTTTACTTCAGCTGCGGCCGCCTGATTCCTCTCTTCTCCATGATTCCTTTTCTTCTGGCGGACAGGCTTAATGGCTGGATTTACAGCCAGCTTGTGCACGGCCAGGTCAGGGCTTATTCCTGGCATCTCACTAACATCAAATTCAAATACATCCTTGAACTCTCTCAGCAGTTGAATTAACTCATCCCCAAGCACACTCAAAGCTATAGTGCCCACACTAACCGTCCGACCTGGTTGATAGGGGTCAAGCACTATATCTTGGTGACTGCCGGCCGGCTGGGGTCGTAACTCTTCTGGTCAACCAACAGTCATTAGCTGCTATTCTTGCTCTATCTTGGCCGCCTTACACTTCTGGCCGACCTGGTGTGCTGGGAGTGAGGTTTCTTCTTCTTTTTGCTTGGACGCCTTTGGTCCGCGCGCTGTAGGCTTAACAGCCAACTGATTACATTCCTTTGTCATCTTCTGACTCCCTTGGATTGTCCCTATTTTTCCGTCTGTCCTCTCGAACTTTAGCAGCATTAGGTGAGGTACAATGACTAATTTGGCTACATTCAGTGTAGGACGACCGAGTATGACATTATATCCAGTCAGCTCTTTCACAACCAGGAAGCGGACAACCATATCTCTTCCTTCCCTTTTTGCCCAAAGCGGACGGGTAAATCTATCCGCCCCACCGGGTGGATAACATTCCCCCCAAATTCGACCAACAGGTGAGTGATGTCCTGAAGAGCATATTCTGGGAAGCTTAGATTCTTCAAGGCGGCCAGGCTGATGATATCAGCCGCGCTACCCATATCAATCAATATTCGTCCGACCTTCAAATTGGTTATCTTCATAATGAATACCAAGGGATCATTGTGCAGAGCTTTGACCTCCCCCCGGTCGGCCTCACTGATGATTACTTCGGGAAAGGGTTCGGCCTTCACTGAATCCGCTTACATCACCTTTCCCAAGTTCCGGGCGTTTTGCTTAATCGCCTTCATAGTTGGGCCGCCTGAGGCAAATCCCCCTGATATCACGGCGACAAAGCCTGAGTCAGTGATATTCCCATCATCTTCCTTGTCTTTATTCTTATCATTTTTCTGTCTTTGCTCGGACGTGTTGTTTGTCCGTGTGTAAGTGAATTTGGACTTCATCACATAAGAATTCAGCATGCCCTTCTCGGCTAGCTTGTCCAACAGTCTCTTCAAATTGATACAATCGTTCGTGTCATATCCCACGTCCTTGTGGTAATGACAGTACTTGTTCTTGTTCCTGTATTGGGTCGGGCCTCTCAGCGGCTTTGGCTTTTCAAACTCAAATTTATCCTTGATTTCCATCAAGATAGAATAGCAGTCCTTGTTGAATTCATACTGAGGCTCGTACGTCTTGACCTTCTTGGACTTCTGTGGCTGGGCATCAGCCACCCAGACTTCTTTTCTCTTTTTTCCTTCTTTCTTTTGGCCGGCCGAGTCTTGATGAGAAAGTTTCTTCTCAGCCCCCTTGGCCGGCGCTTCTGATTTTGTGAGCGAACAAAAGTCCGCCGCTTCAATATAGGCTTCAGCTTCCTGCAAAACACCTGCGTATGTCCGAATCTTTTTCCTTACCAGGTCAAATTTAAAACCATTGTGCCTTAATCCCCGGAGAAATTCAGAGTAAGCCATTTCATCCGGCAGATTATGAATTTGGGCTTTTTCTTGGTTAAATCGCTGGACGTACGAGCGTAGGCCCTTGTTCTTCCCTTGGACGATTGTCGCCAAATTAAGGCTAGTCTTTCAAGGCGGTATGTTGTATGAAAAATTTCCCACAAATAGCAAACTAAGGGTAGTAAAACAATTGATACATCCGGCCGGCAAGCTGTTGAACCAATCCTGCGCCACACCTTTCAAAGTGGCCGGAAAGAATTTTTTACCAAGTAGTATCATCTACACTTTGCAAGTACATCAGGTTTCTGTACGAGGTGATGTGTTCTTCTGGGTTTCCCGTACCATCATAGGCTCCAACAAGTACACTCTTCACCTTTGGCGGCTGAGGGGCAGTTAGAACATCTTGTGAAAACGGAGGCGGCTTATCTCCCAGAGTCAGTAGGCGCATCTGCCAATCGATGGGTTGTGGCTGCACGGACGGTCCATCCAGGTAGGGAGCATGTCCGTAAGTCCCATATTGTCCGAAGACTTGGGGATTCGGCTGCATCAAGCCATTGAACCCCTGAGGAGGTTGATATTGAAGTGATTGGGCTGGAATAGGAGTTGGAGTGTGGACAAATGGAATAGGAGTTGGGGTGCGGACCGCCTGGCTTCTGCTGGAGATGGTCGTGTTGGTATGTTGGGAGAGAGAATGATTTGAAAAATCATCCGGCATAGTTGGGGTTGAGGCCGTGTCCGAGTAGGCGGCACGTTCCCGCTGCTTATGCCGAAGGTAATCCCTTGCGTCCTTCCATCGTCTAGACGGCTCAGGCTCCTCTCTTCGAGGCTGCCTACCCCTCCCCCCCAGCCGACTGTGTTTTCGCCAACAAATCAGAAAATTTTGTCCGTGGCACCCTTAGGGACCTTCCAGTCGGCCTATGAAAGGGAGTGTTTCCAGCGTCTGTTGCATGGACTGCTTTGTGTGTGCTTTCTTTAGAGCCCTCTGTTCCTCTCTCCTGGGCGGCTGCCTAGAGGTAGAGGCTCCATTGCTCTCAAACTCCTTCCTGAGTTTGTTAAGCGCGACCTTCAGAGAGGCTGCGGTAACAGGAGGGTCATCAGCTTCTTGAAATATGGCTATCAGCGGATCGCTGGTATGGATTGTAGGGATTATATCCTCTACATGCCCATCCTCGCCTGGATTAGGTGTCTGACCTTCTATCGCCATAACGTACGAGTATCCCCACAGACGGCGCCAAATGTTTCGGGTATTTTTTGGATTTCCTTGGATACTGGTTACGCTCTCCTGGCAACGAGACGGTCCGACCTGCAAAACAACGAATATTCCGGTTGTCGGAATATTCGCCTCCGACGATCAAGTTAGTGATCGGAAACGGAAAAGGCTAGTGAGAGAACGTAGAGAGAAGTTGGAGCTATTAATGCTCTTTTTGTTGTAATGTCTTAATCCCCCCCTCCCATCATAAATGATTGGGGTATTTATAGTGGTGGGACTCGTGCCCCATTCTAGGGTTTGTACCCTAGAATTGCGTGACGTGATTGGCTGCGCAATCAGTGAATGCCACGCGTTACTTTGGGGGCGCCGCTTTGAGGCTTTCAATGATATCTCTCGCGATTTGGGCCCTAACGTTATTAGGCCTCTTTTGCGTGCTGATTTCAGGGGAACACATGCCCTAAACACGTGGCATCTTCCTGTGACGACACGTGTCACCCTCTAACTGGGCCACGTGTTGCTACGAGATTGGCCTAAATCTTTGAGGGCTCTTGAGCTGGACGCGTGGCATCTTCCCATAGTGACACGTGTCACCCTATAACTGGGCCACATGTCACTACGGGACTGGTCCACGTATACGGTGTATTTTTACTCTCAACATATAAGGTGGCAAGGGAGTAGAGATAGATCTTTGAAACATTGAATTAATCAAAGAAAATAATTCAAAAATACTTCAAAATATTAATACTTATGCCACCGTATAAAATTCAAAGCATTTACAAAATTTGCACAATCTTTATTCATTAAAAATTATAATACAATAAAGAGTCCGTCATAGGCGGTAACAACAAACCATCACAAAATATTGGAAAAATCGTAGTCTAATTCCCAAAATACTTTACTAAAGAATTCTCCAAATAGAAAGTCATCTAATATCCTTACAGAAAAATTATCACATAATTTTTCCTTCACAAAACTCAACAAGTTTAAGAATTATAAATTCTACACATGCTAATGAAATACCGAAAATAAAGTAATGAAATCAATTGAGTTATGATAAAGCTTCTCAATACGAGTATTGCATATCATGGATTCAAGAAATTGACATAATACATCTCAACTCCATGCTCAACACATACATGAATCATGATAAAAGTAGTTCTTGAAGTACATATATACATGCACCTCAAAAACATGTTAAACAATATTGCTCAAAACATCCTACTGAATAAAAAGTTAATCCACAATATGTAGAACCAACAAATTAGTGGTAATTGATTATATGCAATATAATGTCATACTCATGAAATATCGACATTATAACTTTTACTTTCTAATAATCATTCAACAAATATTTAGTTGAAAAATTCAACATTCAACGTACTTTGTCAATAGCCACAAAAGCATATATTTGTTAAGATGATTACTAGGAATTAAACAAAATGATAAACATAACAACATGAGACTTTGTTTAGAATGAACCTCCCTTGAATTAAATCAAGGAACATGTGTGAGACCTCTATGAGATGCCCAACCGTCTTCGTTGTTGTAGGGAATAATCTCAAGCGTTAATCCCCTTGCTTGAACCCCACTGTGATCATACACTAAAGTACGGTGGCGTCCAAAAGGGACGAAGATAGAGCAAAAGAGTCTCCAACAAGTTTTAGGAACTTGTAAACCGTTCACGAGGTGAAGGTTACACCCCTTAACGATCCAAGAGATCGTCAACTCCATAAGGTCTTGAACCAAATAGGGTTCGGGGATGAAGGTACAAATCCAACCTAAAAGATATTGAACCTGCCCTAATAATAGGCCTCTACTTTATTCTGATCATACTCATGTGCGCTTTCTGACTAACATGCAATCAATGGGTTTAACCCTAAACCTGTTTATCTATGTTGGTTGAATATAATGCACAAATAAATCTATTATTGGAGATCACTTGAATTATAATCAAATTAACCCTAAACAAGATTATTAATTATCTTATTAAGCGTGATTACAAGTACCAATTCCCTTTAAACATGCATAAAAGGCGTGATCAAGCAATAACAATAAAAAGTCAAGCAACATAATAATAATCATAAAAATTATAATAATAATCATGTTAAAGCATAGCAAGATCCTAGGCATGATACTAACAAGATTAATAACAAACCCTAGCATGTCACTAAGCAATAAAAATCAAATCTTTAACCCTAACATGATACTAACAATCATAAATATTAGGAAGAAAATAAAATGCATCATAACGATCATATTTGATATTAAAATTACCCTAGACATGATACTAGGAATCAAAATAACAATCTAAGCATGATTTCTACATCATAATATCAATAAAAACCATTAAAGTACTTACTTCGATGCCTCGTACCTCTTTCTAATAACAAAATACACACGTTAGTAAATTCAAGGAAAATAATAATCAAAACAATTAAATTAAATAATTGAAATAGAGATTTGGGACCAAACCCTCAGAAATTAAACCTTTCACGTCTAGGGCGAAGGCAACTTCGAATATGGCTAGGTGTTTCTAGATCTAATGAATGCGGAATTTTGTAAGTAAAAAGCTAGTTTAGAAAAAGAGAGAGAGAGAATAATCAACGAAATCTTGATAAGTGTTGGTGAATGATTACAGATAAAAACTGGTTATCAAAAACGGAGTTTTTACGACGTTATTTGTAGAGAAAATCAGCCAAAAAGATAAAATATCAAAACAGAGTTCTGGTGCGCGTAAAACCCAATCAGCGCCAACGCTGGCTGTTGGCGCCAGGCGCCAACACTAGCACCAGGCACTATAGCTGGCGTTTGGCGCTGATTTAGAAAATCACGCGTTTTCCTAAAATCAGATAAAAATTACCGTACAGGAGGATAAAATCGTATTTTTCCTCAAAAATGCTCTTTGATTTCAATTAAAACTCTGAAAAGTCAACAAAAGTCAATTTATCAATACTAATTGAATTAGGAATGGAAAGAACCTTCTAGAAGAATCTAGAAGAATAAAACCATTCCTAATTGCATTAGGAATGATAAATCATATTAGGCCCTCCCCTAGATCATTGGGCCGCATATAAAGCTTAAACCGGGCCTAGTTTGGTAAATTGGCCATAACTTCCTCAATATTCATCGGAATCGGACTTATAATATATCGTTGGAAAGCTCTTGTCAAGCCCCATCCAACTACACTACTATTTGACCCATATCATAGACCAACCAAACTGGATTGGTTGTTTTCTTAAAAATAAGTTTTCAAAAACAGATAGAAGAGAAAAGAAATTAAAACTATCCGCAACACTAAACTTTCCACACTTTTACTTCATTCGATTATGATTCGACGCGAAAGGTACTCATCACCGGGTTTGGTTTTGGGGAGATACATTTTGGTGTCTACAGTTGTAAATAAGGGACTCAAGATGTCATCATAACTCACTAATCTGAGCAGCTAATGAGAATCCAACCGTTGAAAATAAGCCTCATGTGCCCT